ATGGATGGATGGATGGATGGATGGATGGATGGATGGATGGATGGATGGATCGGAATCGGATTATAAATTCTAAAAAACAAATCGAAATATAAAAAAATAATGATGTGTTTCTAATTTGAATTCATAATCCTAGAACCATCGCCTGTGATCCAATACACTCATTTTTAATATCTTAAGTTAACGTTGGACTTATTGACTACACTTTTTGTGTTCTATATTTATTTCAATTGTAAAGTGCTTTCAAGGTATATCAAATGATCATTTATTTACTGGATGTCGTGTTCATTTATACTTGGCGACATTTCTTAGCTATATGATAAGAGGTGGTTTCTATCTGTGGCAAATTTCACAAATAAGATTACATTATAGAATATTCTTGTAATTGCATTGCTTTAAATGACTAAATGACCTGACTCTCTTTACCATTCGTAGCATTCTTAAAATCTCTCTGAGTAGAGATTTGAAAATTAAACGTACAGTGACAAGCACAATGAGGTGGAAACTGACAAATAAACTATATATATAATAGCCAAAAAAGAATGTCATTTGAATAATCATATTAAACCTTTTCCATCCCATTTAAATTGTTGCCTGGAATCGATTGTGATGTGAGTACGTATACCTTGATCTTGAAGAGGTGTAACTTTAGATTAAATTCAATTTTAAGGAAGCAAACAAATCCTTTATGGATAAAATAGAAAGAGAAATCGTAGTCTTACTTATCCTTCCTTAATTCCTTGAGTCAATTATACGTAAGTAGAATTCAGGCGTCTTCCACGGCCAAAGTTAACTTCCGTGGGCGAAAATGCGCCCAAAACTTATTATCTAATTGTTGAAGTCTAAAAGCACAATTGACGTCATCAGTGACGTAGCGACCTAAATATCCAAGCGTTGTGCACTTTAATCAATGTGAGGGCGATTCAAGCCCGTCAATATGGTAATGTCTTTTCTATCGAATTATTGATACTCGTAAAAAAGACTGTTGCGCCGTAGGGACTGTTTGCGTGAGGGTCAAGACGTCATAGTGCATTAAAATGAATACAGTTCATTAGATTTGAACCGTGTTTTGAAGATAGCCGTATAAGTCAATACACAGCTCCGAAAGACGGCCATTAAGAATTGTGTGAATTGTTTAATTGAAGTTGTCTGACCTGTAACTGAGATTGATCAGCAATCATTCCACTCAATACCCTCTCATTCTATTACAACATCCTTCCAATTAACTCCTAATATAACCATTATCTAAATATAGCATGTAGAATTTACCACCTACTGCGCATGCTCCAGTAGATCTCGGAAATCCTTACCCAAAATCGCCTCTACTTTATGAGAGCCTTTTAGAGAGTTTTGTTTTTGAAGGTTTGAGAGCATGGAATTAGTTCTTACCTCTACTTCGAACTGTGTTCCTTAAACCCAGTTGTAATTGGATTAAATATCAGTGTCGCCAGAAATATAAACTGGACCGAGCGCAGTTTTCCGGTCTGTTCAGTTTTGACTTAACCTTTATCCATTACAATTTATATAATTCTATTGAGTGTTATTTTACTTTTTAGCATTGAAGCCCCGAAAAATCAGCTCCATGACCAACAAATAAGGCTTTTAGTTTTTGTCCCGGCAGAGATTGTGAGTTAAAATTAAGGTCGCATATCTCTAAATACAGAGGTGAAGCTTGTAGACAAAACTTTTTATATCCATGAGATTGCATTCACTACACTAATGAGGTTTATCGTCAATGATCGATAGGATACAATTTATCATTATTGGAATTTTTGTGTACGTGGAAAAATAGGTAAGAAATATTCGCCAGTATCTTCTACAACCATATACTTCCTGTTATTTTAGAGAAATAGGAATAGATAAACAAATGAAAAATAGTCCAAGTCCATAAGTTTATTTTTTCGTCACTCTCAATCTTTACCGAAAGCGCGCCTCGACTAAAGTGACTTGTTTTCCATTAAATATCTGGAAAAAAATTCAAATGTTTTCTAATCATTTTAATGATCAAAAGGGAATTTTGTACAAATCTGTCTTAGTTGACCATATCGAAAGAACTTTCCTTCTAAATACGTAGTTTGAGTTGTCTATCACTATTACCGCTAGACTTCCCGCCAACGCCAAGTGCGATATTCTCGCGTTAGCTTGAAGGGAACTTACTGTACTACACAACACCGACCGGGGTTATCGATCATTTAGTTAAAAAACAGACGTCTTGTCTTGAATTTAATTTATTTTTGAAATTCTTTATTATTTACATTTTCAATACTATTTGGCTGATTTTATGAAAATATTGATCGAGGTATCTGAGAGTAATGAACAGAGAAAAGACTTGTCCCAAACTTCTCATACTCATGAATCAAATTATTGTCTGTATTTACTACCATTTCAAAGATAAGATATTTTTAGAAGCTCACACATGATTGGTTGATCGAATGCCAACCAAAATCACTTTATTACGTCCTTTATTACAGCTCGCACGGCACATCTACGTTCATAAATTACGCTGCATGGACCAAGATACTAGCAGCAGTCTGGTAAGTACTGTAAACATATTCTTTTTTTCTCTCTCTCCTTTTTTCATTTACTTTTTTTTTTAAGTCTAAGAATTTTTTCAATCGAAATAACCTTTTTAATATCTCAATTTAACTGATTCCTGAATTTAAAATATTCAGAGACCCTTCTTAAAATTGGAAAAAGAATATATTAATATGCATGATTTTCGTTAGTTTCATTTCAAATCGAGAGAGAGAGAGAGAGAGAGTGGAAAGAAAACGGGAGACAAGATTAATACTTTAATATGGTATCCCGCCTGACCACATTTCATCTTCAAATTATTAGCAGAGTTCAAAAACTGTGAAACACTAGTAAAAGGCTTTGTATCCTAAAATAATATGCTTTGGGTTTCTTATCTATATTTCAAGATAAAAACACCACGCTTCATAATGCATGAAGAAGCACATGCTGTCGATCGTGTTTTTTACATGTTAGTTCGAGCCAAACCAAGTAAACAAACTACTGCACTCAAGATAATCAAGATATATCCAATTTCTTCAATTAAGGAAAGACGAGAATTTCTGTGTTTTTCTGTCGCCAGAAAATATAAGATTCTCTAAAAATGTTGATTTTGTGGAATAATCTGATGTCTTCATTGGCGCCATTTATTGCTTGAAATTATGCCAATTCAATCATGATAATCTAAACTTCCAGATTAAAACAAACTCTGTCTCATTCTTTCCTTTAGGCTAAACAGCAGTAGTGGCTCTCTTAAAGCTTAAAATAACAATAAAGGCTTGGAAAACTATATTATTTGGAGTAGATTTGGAGGCGAAACGATGAAAAAAGAATATACTTAAATAGGATAGAGTGTTTTCAAAAGCGCTAATCTTTTCTGGATAAATCTGTCATAACGCTTACTCCAAAATCTAAATGTAAATCTGAATTTTAATCCAATAATTCTGGCAAAAGTATCTTGAAAACTGGTTGGATTACTGGAGGATACAAAACTAGAGGTGGAATAGGATAAGGTGGGAGAAAACTCACTAGGAAATCTGGCAAAACTTAACTGAAAATAAACTTTATATATTGATGGAAAAGAAACGAATTTAACCTAAAGCTAATTTTACATTGGGCCATCAAAAGGGACAGGGGAACTAGAAGTCGTCTAAGCCATGCTTGTCAAGAAATTTAAAGAGAGACAAAAAAAGAATGCAATTTTGAGTGAAAACAACTAAGTAAATAAGAAATAGATAGAGAGGGATGGAGGGAGGGAGGGAGGGAGGGGGGTTATTAGGAATTAAAAATTGGAATTGCAAAAACCGTGAAGCTTACAATCATTTCATATCTTATTCTGTAAACGTATAGAGACTCATCATCATCATCAACATCATTACTATTATTATTATTATTATTATTATTATTATCAGTTAGCTTACTCTTTGATATCGATGTGATGTTACATTGTTTAACTTAGGCGTGAAGGAAAACTAATTCAATAGCAAAAGAACAAAAGGGTGCCGCTGACATACCAGCAAAAAGCTGGTCAAATAGAAAGTTGATTCAAGATAAGATACGCCAGAAAAGATAACAGAATATAAGAGGTATTTGACACTTGCTGTAATGAGACGTCAAAATATGGTTAAACTACTATTAATTTCTGCAAATAGTAGGTTAAAAAAGCAAAAAATATGCGGAAAAGTGGAGTTTAAAAAAAAAACAGCTTAAAACATATCTTTTTAATGTAGCTTACAATAGGTAGTTTTTATCAATTCTAACATAGTTTTCTATTATAGTTTGTTTTCCTTATACATATTATATTTATATATACATATATATCTTTTCCTCGTCAGTTTTTTATAGTTATATCTTATATCTATCATAAGTATTGTATAYATATGTATATTCATATTTTATCAATTCATTCATGTAAAGCGCTTTTGATCATTTTAATGTTAAAAGGTGCTATAGTAAGTTAATAAATTATAATTATTATTATTGGAGTTATATTTCATATAAAAATGCTTATGAAAGGTGTTTTGGTATTATATTTGAAWAAGATGTTCTGCGAAGAGGACACGTGGTTCATATGCGGACCCGGCTGTCGCGAATGCGCAGCTTGTTTTTGATTGGTTAATGACAAAATTATATTCAGCAATATGATTGGCTAGTACATTTACTTTCATAAAAGCTGCATCGCGCGTGACTTTACCATGGTTTTTCAAAGTATTTCAAAAAATCTTAAATGACGTTCAAGGACATGCATGTTTACTTTGGCTGAGTGATATTTCTCAGAAACGTGACAAGTCATAGAAAACTCTCTTATCAAACGAGTAGTGGACTACTTTTTAATTTGTGGACGACAATTTTTTTTGTATATCAATCAACAATAATTGAAAACGATTGACAAACCTCAACGCATTAGCAACATATAATAAGTTCCGGGGGGGGGGGGGGGGGGGGGTTAC